TTGCTAGCATATATAAGCTGAAAACAGCAAAAACATAGCTAAAAGTAAAAAGAAGCAGGACAGTAGTTTAAAGCTAATGATTGCGAAGTGGTAGCTAAGAGATGAGACATCATGAACGATCCAAATCTTTTGAACAGTTCTTTAAAATGAACTGTTTTAACCAGGTCACAGACTTTTTTTTTTTTTTACAGTGTTTGACACAGATGTAGGCACACATCAGCTCCTCTTCTTCTATTGCACTCACGAAGAACAGGCAAAGAGGAGGAATGAAACAGTTTTTTTGTGATTGGTGAACATGGACTCAGACAGGGAAGGAGTTCCTCACTTGACAAGCATGAGTGGTCGTTGTCGTACGGCCGTGTGTCATTTTTTATGTCCGTAGTGATATGTAATGATATATAGTTGTTAGGGGTACAATATTAACCCTTCAAAAGATTTGCTCTTTTGAACAGCTCTCCGAAAAGGATCCTTAAGATATTGGCTTTTATAAACGGCTAAAAGTAGCTAAAGAAGACAAAATAGTGCCAGTATGTTGTGTTACAGATCTCAATGTATTTCTATGGGGGAAATATTTGTGAATAAAGTAAAAAATTTTCTATTATAAAAGTGAAGAAATCTAAAAGTCATAACCCAATTTCTTGTATTAGCTGAACGTTTTGGTATATGACTGGCTAAAATAGCACAAGGTATGCAGAAGTATTGAAAAATAAACAGTTTCATTCTCACAATTACAAGCAAGTTTCAGATAATTGGATGTCGTTGGTTATCTGTAAAGTGTCGCAAGGAGTTTTGGTCAGCCGAACCCTGTAATCCATTCCTAAAGCGTTTGAACGGCTTTATCAAAACTCATCTGCCATTTTTATTCCGTCCGGCTGAGTGGGTGATGAATGCTCCGCCGGTGGAATTGGGAAGAACAAAGCCGAGGCGATACATCACTGCCTCATATTGTGCATAAACTCCTCTGACACTAAGTAAGCAGCGCTCGGCTCTGATTCATGCGGCTCGACTGATGGCGCTCATTAGCTTGGCGGGCACGCTCCGTGGCCTGAAACTGGTGGCTGAAGACAAAACAACAACAAACCGAAGGCCTTCCTTCCTTGAAGGAATGCTTATCTCCCGCCGCCTTTCATGTCTGAGTTTTAGACGAACTTTTTAACTGAGGTCGAGTAACGGTGGAAAAATTACATGGTTGCCCCACGTTTAATGGCTGCCGGAAAATAAATAAATAAATAAAAGAAAAACAGTGAAATTAGTCTAACAAAATACAGTAGTCCCTCAGTTATAGCTGTAAATAAGCCTGTCTCGATAAACAATAAATCAATTAATCGCATGATAAATGAAAGTTATCAACCTTATTTTCATTTATCAGCTTTATCGTTTCTTCATGTCTCTTTCTACTGAAGACACTGGATGACAAACGTTTCAACTTCCTGTGCTCTTCACTGACCCCTCCCTTTCTCTTTTCTCGTTAAAATCTGTTTTAGCCGTCCAAAATCGCGTTTTTGGATCGTTAAAAGCAGCTAAGCTACGAGCTAAGCTAACAGGCCGACCTCGGAGAAAAACCTTCGTTTTGTCAACGGTCCAAAGCGCCTCCCTCCCATTTTTCTTAAAGAGACGCTGCTCGTTCCCTCACTACCCATCCTTTGGTTCAAACAGTCTAATGCTGCCATCTGGTGGTCCAAAAAAGGTACTACATGCAAAGCAAAATAAAATAATATAGAAAACATTTCTTCTTTGAACCAAAGATCTTTTTTTTTTTTGTAATGCCACTATCCTTTCCTCATGGCTTTGTCCCGTTTTCTATCTAAAAAAATGGATTCTGAAAAGGATAAGAGGCCACACTCTTAAAGCGCAGCAGCTACGCGCATTCTGCCCATCTTTCCGACGACCGGACAGACATATTCTCCTTGTATCGCGCTACAATGATAATAAAGCTTATTCTGATTCTAATATTGTCAAATTTCAAACAATATTATTATTGATCGCAATAATTTCTAAGCCAATTAATCGCCCAGCAAAATTTGTTATCGTGACAGGCCTAATCGTATATGTACCAACCGCCTCGTCCAGGTTGATGTGCGCGTGTATAATTGAGCTTCAGGAAGCTTCAGGATTATTTGTGACTTTCTGCCAGTTCTGTGAGCTTAACAGATTGTTACTTCTGACTTTACGTTGCAAAACTTTTCCTCCTTTTCAGCAGAAAACAGCGGGTGGAAGCGCTGTTGGCTTCTGGGTAATGTAGTTCTTTTGACTTGCGTTTCAGTGTAGGTTTATTGAAAGAAAACTACAAATTGATGGCGCCTGTCCAAAGTGTTTTGTTGTTAATTTTTTATCCCGTACCATCCCAATCGCATATGTAATATTAAAGTTGACAATCGTTGAAAAATCGCGAAAAAGTCTGCGAAAGCCGAACCGCAAAGTAGCGAGGGACTACTATAGAGGAAAAAAAAGTTGTCTTTTTTGTTTTGTATTGTCTCTCTTTTTTCAGCCCTGTTATTGAAAAAATAATTTATTTCAATTAAGAGAGTGATGGCGCAGAGGTTAGGGAAGGTGAGCTTGTGATTAGAAGGTTGCCTGTTCAACTCCTGGGACCGACAACATCAAAATGTGGGTGGGAAATGTGAAGCACCCACACCTGTTTCCACTGTCATTTGCCCCACCTGGGCCCTTGAGCAAGGTCCTTAACCCCCACTATCTGCTCCCCTGAGTGCTCTAGGTAGCAGCTCTCTGCTCCACACAGAGGGCTGTGGTAGCTCGGTGGTTTACGGTTGCATCAGGAAGGGCATCCGGCAAAAAACAATTGCCAAGTCTTCCTGCGAGTTAGTTCATTTTTGCGACCCCTGAAGAAGGGAGCAGCCATAAAGAAAAAGAAGAACTTTTGTTGTGTGAATGCTTATGAAGCATTCACACAATTATGATCCATTTTTCTTCCGTACATTTTTCGGTGCGTTTCTCATCCCACAGCTTTCAAGCTATTTCAACAAATCTATCTATAATCTTTCAGATTATTTTTGCTAATTACAAAATTTTGTGCTTCTTCTAACTTCTTTCTGCTAATTTCAGCTTGTTACGCTCCTTTTAGCTGATTTCTGCAAGTTTCAGCTTTTTCTGCTATTTCAGCTACTATTTACGGGTAGTTGTTTTATGCTAATTTCATCATCTTTAGCTAATTCCACATTTTTTGCTCTCATTTAAACATTTTTCTGCCCAATTCAATAAAAATTTGCTCTCTCCACTTCCTTGTGGTAATTTCAGCTTTTTTTCTGCTTTGTTAGATATTTTTCTGCAGGTGTTTTTTTTTTTGGCTAATTTCAGCATTTTTAGATAATTTTCACTTTCTTGTCCTCATTTCTGCTTCTTTCTGCTAATTTCAGTTTGTTATTGTCCTTTCAGCTGATTTTGGCTAGTTTCAGCTTTTTCTGCAAGTTCAGCTACTATGTAGCTGTTTTGTGCAAAATGTAGCCTTTTCATCCAATTCCACATTTTTGGAGCTTATTTCAGCTCTTTCCGCTCCCTTCTGATAGTTTAAGCTTCTTTCTGCCTATTAAGCTATTTTTTCAGCTGTTTTCTTTAAACTAATTCCAGCTTTTTTAACTAATTTCCTATTTTTTGTGCTCATTTCTGCTTATTTAAACCTAATTCAGCAAATATGCGTTCTTTCTGCTTTTTTCTTCTAACTTAGGCTTGTTCTTCCATTTCAGCTACATTTCAGCATGTTTTGCTCATTTCAGCTGTTTTTCAGCAAGTTCGTAAGCAATAAGCATTCACACTGCATTTTTGCAGAAATTCAGTTTCTCTAGTTTCAAATATTTTAAACCAGTGAGTATATTTTTAGAACGAGCCGTGCTTCCACACAAACCTAAATATCACATTCATAATCGAGCGATGGTGAAAACAAAATAGTCCAGCAGAAAAATGAAGTTCAGCACCTTCGTAGCTGAAACTGTTCTGTACAAACAAAAGCTTTCAAATGTTTAACATTTCTGCTAAAATGGGGAAAAACTGAGCTGTGTGGACGCAGCTTTGACTAAATCCACAAACATTTAGCAGGTCATATTCTCAATCTTCTGTTGTGCTTAGTTTTTATTACAACAATCAGAAGCATCGAGGCTGTTCGGGGATTTCCCACCTACGAGAAGCTAACGCTTACGACACGTCACTTTCCTTTAATTACTTGCATTGCATTTGCATTGAGTCTCAGAAGCTTTAATTAGTCAGTCCACGCTGGCGTCATCGGATTGTTTTTGGGTCGTAATTATGTTTTTACCGAGAGCTCCATAGTTTCTGCTAAAGGGCAGAGGGCGATTGGAGCGAGGAGGCTGACAGCTCCTAATGCACAGCCTGCTGCTGACAAATTGGAAACTCCCAGAGATCAATAGAGTGCCGCCTCGGTCGGTGCTCACTGAGCAGAGAAGATATTCTTATTAGGTCCAAACTCGCACAGCACAAAAGTTCAGCATCGTAACTTCCACCCCCTTGACCTTTATCCCTGTTGCACTAGGTGATTCTTTTTATTGGGCGTCCCAGTTCAAAGCTGACACATGACCTTTGTGTGGAAAGTCTCCTCCATGCTTAGTTGCTGCTTCTACCTTCGTCTTTGTTGTCGTGTGGCGTCATGTGTAACTAACGCGGAGCTTGTTTTTGCAGGAGGAGAACTCCGCCTTGGCTTCGGAGAACGAGAGCCAGAGGGAGCAGTACGACCGCTGTCTGGATGAGGTGAGCGCACGTCTTAGCTCGCCTCCTTAAATGTGGCACGCCAGGCGTTTTACCTGCCTTGAAATGCCCACAAGTGCTCGCTCAGTCAGGTCTGACTATACAGCTGCGAAGCTGAAGATGAGATTAGAGCTTTAATGAGGGCCAAGGCTGAGAGGTGCGGCGCTGAAGGCTCATCGTTGAGTTACACAGTGAAACACGGGGAGAGTCTGACGTTCGCTTGTAAAGTAGAAACAACGCTGTAGACAAATAGAAAGTCAGCTTGATCCTCAAATAAGCTGAAATGGCACAAAGAAAATATGTCAGACGTTGAAATGAAAAAATTAAAAAGTGTATTTTAAAAATAACATCAGTTTTGAATGAAAAGATGATTACTGTAATTTTTAAAGTCTGGACAGACCTCCCCTTAAGTACAAAAAATTAGATTTCCATCAGAAATGAATGAATTAATGACACAGCCCAGAATATCCTGGGTACATTCTAGGTGTATACCTGTTTCTTACTGGTTTCTTACTTGGTACATCTGGTACAAACTGAGTATAATAACCAGTAACTTCATAATGCAGCTCTATCCCCATAGGTATTTAGTAGGTACCAGGAACATACTTACTCTATACGGACCCAGAAACTATCTGTATTGTACCCGAAAAGTACCAGATGCGTAACTGGAAAGTGCTAGGTGTGTATTAGAAAACTGCCAGGTTCTAGTACCTGGTTCTAGCCTTGAAAGTATGAGGTACATACTTGTTTTTTACAGTGGAAGTACCAGACATGTTGCTGGTTCTTGTCTTGGAAGTACCAGGTCTGGTTCTTACCCTGGATGAACCAGGAACATGCTCAGGTTTAGCTCTTGAAGTACCAAGTACATACCCAGATTTTACCCATGAAGCATTAGTTATATGCCAGGTATGTATCCAATATGTACCAGTTATATACCCTGTAAGTACCAGGCCTTTTTTAAATATATTTTTACCCAAAATAATATTCATTATAGTCTAATTGTTAGGAAATGTGAAAGATGAAAGATTAAATTTGAAATATTGATTTAGTTCGTATTTAAGACGTAAATTAAATAATGGATACATTACTACATACTCGTGTACAAAAGCTCTGAATCTTTTCAAAAAGTTTTTGTCTTCAGTCATAATTTTCCTGCAGTCGGTGGAAAATGTGAACTGTTTAACCACCATAAGTTGGTGTGAACACCTCTCTGCCCTCTGGTTATTTGGCGCCACTTGATAAGTTCTGTCCAGGGAGCCGGGGGGGGGGGGGATAAAGGGGGCCCCGCTCTTGGCAGTGCCTGCTCGCAGATTCACTCTGGGACGAAACCGAGTGGCTCGGTGGACTGAGCAGATTTCCCGCGAGGTGGGAAAAGCACGGATGAAAGAGGAGGATTGGAAGTGGGTTTAAAGTGATGCAGAGTTCCATTGGACATGGATCGGTTTCCTGGTACAGTCGGACTCCTTTTTGCTTCCTCGCCATCGTTACGATGGCTCAACTAAGCTTTGTTGGTTTATTGGGGACTGCCACCTGAAAAGGGTCTTCTTCATCTTCTATCAACTTTAATACGGCCCAAACCGCAGTGTGCACCCCCACAAATTTTACATCAAAACAACCGGCTTGGCGTCGTGGTGTGTGCTATTACTGTTATTGGTGTTTCGAGATGCCATGGTGACGTAATTTGCATACAAAGACCATTTTGCTCGTTGAAAAACACTGACAGAACTCTAAACAGCTTCTAACTTCCACAGTGAGGTCACATGACCTAAAGTGGAGAGGTCTCTGAACAAAACACTGATTAACTTTGGGAGCCATTTTGGTTCAAGATGGCTGCCACAGCTACCTCAGAAAACTCCAAATTGACTATAATTCAGTCATTCATTGAGATATTGAGCTGAAATTTGGTATGGTCGGAGCTGAGAGCGAGTTGTTTTACATTCCTGACACAAATTAATCCAAGATGGCCACCTGAGCTAAAAGAGAAACAACACGATAACTCAACTGTTTTTCAGAGTTATTCAGCTGAAATTTGGTGTTTTGGGAACTGAGAGCAACGCCCATTAAATATTGAATTCAAAGCTACAAATTTAAGATGGCCACTACATTTAAATGGCTATAAATCAGATATTTTTACACATATAGAGCTGAAATTTGGTCTGCTTATAGCTGAAAACGTTGTCCATCACATACTGAATCCAAATAAAAGATCCAAAATGGCCTCCTTAGCTAAAAGGGAAAAATAAGATAACTCAGCTATTATAAAATTAATTGAGCTGAAATTTGGTGTGATGGTGGTTGAGAGCAAGTTGTTATACATTCCTAATGCAAATTCAAAATCCAAGATGGCCACCTGAGCTAAATGGGAAAAAATATGACAATTCAGCCATTTTTTTTTAGAGCTATTCAGTTGAAATTTGGTGTACAGTGTTGGTAGCTGAGAGCAATGCCCATTAAATATTGAATTCAAATCTAAAAATTCACGATGGCTTCCAAAGCTACATTTAAATAGATTTAACTCAGCTATTTTTTGACATATAGAGCTGAAATTTGGTGAAGTTATAATTGAGAACATTCCCTATTACATACTGAATCCAAATAAAAAAATCCAAGATGGCCGCCTTAGCTAAAAGGGAAAAAATATGACTCAGTCATTTTAAAAGATACTGAGCTGAAATTTGGTGTGATGGTATCTGACAGCGATAAACAACACATTCTGAATTCAAATAGAAAAATTCAAGATGGCCACCAAAGCTATTTTCAATTGGATATAACTCAGAGGGTTTTAGAGCTATTTTGCTGAAAATTGGTATATTAATAGCTGAGAACAGTCTCTAATAGACTCTGATTGCAAATCAATAATTCAAGATGGACGTATGAACTAAAAAGGAAGCATACTATAAATTTATTATTTTTAGAGATATTTAGCTGAAATTTGGTGTACTGGGAAATGAGAACAATCCCTAATAGACTGGTTGCAAATCAAAAATCCAAGATGGCCACCTGAGCTAAAAAGGAAAAACACTATAAATCTGCCATTTTTAGAGATATTAAGCTGAAAATTGGTTTATTAGTAGCTGAAAACAATCCCTAATAGACTCTGATTGCAAAAAAAAATTCAAGATGGAAGTATGAGCTAAAATGGAAGAATACTATAAATTAGCCATTTTTAGGGATATTTAGCTCTGAATAAACTGGTTGCAAATTCAAAATCCAAGATGGCCACCAGAGCTAAAAAGGAAAACTACAATAAATCAGCCATATTCATAGATATTAAGCTGAAAATAATTTAGTATAGTAGTAATTGAGAGCAATGCCCAACACAGTATTGTCAAATCAAAATTTTTAAATTTCCGCAACTTGGCAGTCCCCGTCAAAGTCTCTCCAGGAACGTTCTAGTTTAAATGTTTCCTTACGAGGATAACTTTTTGTTAAAGACAGGTTTTATGAATAATTTTCCTTTCATGAGAATACACAAGACAAAAATTGGAGCTTGACGCTTGCTTTGTGGCTGCATTTGTCGTTTCTAGCCAATGCAGACCTGAAATTTGTTTGATCGCCTGCTGGTTTTACAGTACAGGAGGCAGGTGGGTAACCAGCAGCAAGCCTCATTTCACCATATTTACCTTTGTCTCCCCCTCATTCAATAATCCAGAGCGGACGCGCTCCAAAGAGCCAAGCAGCTTCACACGCTATTAACGAGCAATCGATGCGCAGTAATCGGAGCTGCGTCTCCATCAGCCTTGCGGTCTGGAGTGCAGGAGGGTGTGAGCCGCTGAGAGACCAAGCGCCAGGCACAACAGCACTTAAACCGGTCGCACCTCTGCTCCTACATCAATTCAGAGTTGTCAATACAACAATTAGGAAGTGCGAGCTGGTTGAAGGCCTTTACAGCACCACTGTAAGGTTCCAAAGGCCCGAAGGAAAAGGTTTGATTGAGGCTCGCAATAACTCTCTGTTGGGTTTTTGTCTTTTTTAAGGTTGCCAATCAAGTCGTGCAGGCACTTCTCACGCAAAAGGTTGGCTTCGTGTCCCAGTAAAACTCATTTCAGCACAACAGTGTTTAGTTTTGTTTAATAAAATGTACATTTTGTTGCATCAGGATTTAAGAGAAGAATGTCTAAAGCTGCGAACACGAGTTTTCGACCTGGAGCAGCAGAATCGGGCGCTGAGTATTTTGTTCCAGCAGAAGATCAAGCCTGCATCAGATCTGCTTCTCCAGGTAACTAAACTTCGGCTTTCTATTTTATTTTGTTGGTTTTTTTTACTCCCGTTTGTGCTTTCAGGACTTCCACCTTCATAACTCTCCAATTTTACAAACAGTAATTTAAGAAAACGCAAACATGGAGGTAAAAACTGTTTTGGATTACACAGAAAAGATGGTCGCCAAGCGGTGACGTGAATGTTTGTCACAACAGAAATCATATTTTACTTGATTGTTTTCAAAACAAACTACAACAGTGTGAATGTTTATGAAGCATTCACACTGTTGTGATCCATTTTTCTTCGGTACGTTTTTTGGCGCAATTCTCATCCCGTAGTTTTTAAGCTATTTCAACCAATCATATATCAAAACGTTCAGCTCGTTCAGGAGAAGGGTGCTATGATTTGGTTTTGGTGCAACTTTAGCTTTTTGAAATATTTAGCCTTTTCTGACACTTTTTTTTTCTCATAGAAAATGAATTGAGCTCATTTTCCATCCTTCAACTATTTAGATGTGTTTACAACCTTTTACTGCTCCTTTCACATTTTGTTCTGCTTCAGCTTCTTTCATCTTCCTTGTGCAAATTTAAACTTTTCTTCAGCTATTTTCAAGTAATTTCAGCTGTTTTGTGCTCCTTTCAGATTCATTCTGATATCTACATTTTTGTGCTTATTCTAACTTATTTTAGCTAATTTCTGCTTGTTATCCTCCTTTCAGCTTATTTCTGCAAGTTTCAGCTTTTTCTACTATTTCCGCTGCTATTTACCTGTTTTATACTAATTTAAGATATATTTTTAGCTCATTTCAGATTTTTTGCACTCATTTAAACTTTGTTCAGCCTAGTTCAGCAAAAATGTGCTCTCTCCACTTCCTCCTTGTAATTTAGCTTCTTTCTGCCTTTTTAGCTACATTTCACTTGATTTTTTTGTTGCTCATTTCAGCTTTTTCAGATAATTTATTCATTGTTGTGCTCATTTCTGCTTCTTTCAGCCTAATTGGGCAAATATGTGTTCTTTCTGCTTTCCTCTGCTAATTTAAGCTTGTTCTACTTTTCCAGCTACTTCAGCTTTTTTTTTTTAGTTAATTGCAGCCATTTTCAGATATTCAAGTTTTTCCTGGTAACTCCTGCTACTTTCAGCTTAATTAACTTCTTTCTGCTAATTTCTGCTTGTCCTTTCAGCATATTTCTGCAAGTTTCAGCTTTTTCTACTATTTCAGCTACCATTTAGCTGTTTTACACTAATTTAAGATTTTTCAGCTCATTCTACATTTTTTGCACTCTTTTCAACTTTTTTCCACCTAATTCAGCAAAAACGTGCTCTCTTCACTTCCACCTTGTAATGTTAGCTTCTTTCTGCCTTTTTAGCTACTTTTCAGCTGCCTTATTTGGGGGCTAATTTCAGCTTTTTTCAGGAATTTTTTACATTGTTGTGCTCATTTCTGCTTCTTTCAGCCTAACTTAGCAAATATGTGTTCTTTCTGCTTTTCTCTGCTAATTTAAGCTTGTTCAAATTTTGCAGCTAACTTTTTTGCTTTTTTTAAGCTATTTTCAGCTGTCTTCAGATAAATTCCAGTTTTCCTTGGTAATTTCTGCTACTTTCAGCCTAATTACGGTATCTTCTTTCTGCTAATTGCAGCTTGTTACGCTTCTTTCAGCTTTTTCGGCTAATTTCAGCTTTTTCTGCTCTTTTAGCTACTATTTAGCTGTTTTTTGCTAATTTTAGCTTTTTCAGCTAATTCCACATTTTTTAGCTTATTTCAGCTTTTTCCACTTCCTTCTCATTGTTTAAGCTTCTTTCTGCCTTTTTGGCTACTTTAGATAGTTTTTGCTAATTTTAGCTTTTTTTGTTGTTGATTTCTTGTTTTTTGTGCTCGTTTCTGCTTATTTAAACCTAATTCAGCAACTATATGTTCTTTCTGCTTTCTTCTGCTAACTTAGGCTTGTTCTTTCTTTTCAGCTACATTTCAGCAAGTTATTCTGCAATAAGCAGTCACACTGCATTTTTTCAGGAAATGCAATTTATCTAGTTTACGTTGTAATTATCAAACTAGTTGCTGTGCAACAATTGCCACATTCATATGTGTTATTTGTTTATTTTGAAGCATAACAATAAATACATTTGTCACAACATTATTTTGATGTTTACATTTTTGACCGTGGCTGTAAATGTTTTAGGAACTCTTTCTTTCAGATAGTATTTCTGCCACCAGACAGCTCGCCCCCTGCTGGTCAGTAATAAAAAGCAGGACATGCACATTGGCTTCATTTTTCAGATTCAAAGTCTTTGTTCATCATGTTTCACATTTTAAGCTGTGATCCTCAAATAAACAGTTAAGTTAGCATTTGATTCTTTAAAATCTTGTTTTTGTGCTATCTAATGGAAACTTTAGCTTTAAATATTTGAAACATGCTACTACACTTTCTGCTTTCATCAGATCTGCGCCACAGTGTAGTTTACCAGAGAATAAAAATGCATGTTCAAGGTAACAAAACCAAAGCTGCACAATAAATTGAAAGGCTTTAAAGTCAGCTTGAAAAGCAGGGTTTCAAATTATTGTGCGACCTGCCAATGCTTTGTTATTTTGCCGTCAATACGAGAAAAAAAAAATGTCAAAGGGAAAAGAGAAGGAAGTAGAGCTGCCAGTCTGACCAGACGAGACAGAAAGAGATCAGGATGAAAATAGGAAGCTTAGATAAGAGCAGGGTGACAGGCGGAGTGAAAGTGGAGAGAGACGTGAAAGCAGAGAAGTAGAGGAGCAGGAGGGAAAGGTGAAAAACTCAGAGCAAGCTGGGAAAAGGTAGAAATTCAGCAAAAGGAATCAGATGGTGGAGAGTGAGCTGTAAAGCTGCCTGAAGTGTCCTGTTTTGACACGGTCCAACATGAAATGTGTTGTCCTCAGCTCAGTCTGAACAAAACGGAAGGTTGAGGAATTAATAATCAACCTCAAAGAGATTCATCTGCAAAAATCTTCCACGGACTTCATTTTTAAACGCTCCTTTTAAGTGTTTAATTTTTAATAACATTTGTTTAGGATGTAAATACAGTGCATATATAT